CATTGGCCGAGTTCAAGACGTTTGTTATCTTGTTTCATCTCTCCGTACCTCACCTTCCACTCCCATGCTCACGCTGTGCTGCATGTTGTGCGTGCGTTTGGTGTGTGTCAATGTGCCCTTGTGACTGTTGCTGTGTGTTTGTGTGTGTGTGTGTGGTGTGCTGTGTGCGCGCGTGTGTGTGTGTGTTGGAGTGTGTGTGTGCTGTGTGTTCGTGCGTGCATGTGATGCCGTGGCGTGTTGTGTGGGCTGTGTGTGTGTGTGTGATGGTTGTGTGTGTGGTGTGTAGTGTGTGTGTGTGTGTGTGTGTGTGTGTGTGCTTCTGTGCGTTGCATGGGTTCGTGGCGCGCTGTGTGACTCGCTCGCACCGCGTGTGTGATGTGTGTGTGAGCTGCTGTGTGTGTTGGTGTGCTGTGTGTTGTGTGTGTGATGTGTGGTGACTTGCGCTGCGTGGTGGTGAGGTAAGTACCGGTGGAGTAACTCTGCTGGCCAGCGTCGCCGCCGTCGTTGATGCCGCGGTTCATGATTATGAATCTCTCCACCTCGCTCCCTCCCCCTCTCTCTCCTCCTCCTCCTCCTCCTCCGCCTTTCTCCTCTTCTTCCTCCCCTCCTCCTCCACCTCCTCTCCTCCTCCTCCTTCCCTCTCCTGCCTCCTCCTCCTCCCTCGGTACGTACGCGTGAGTAAACTCTGCCTGGCAGGTCGCCGCGCGTCGGTTGCATGCCACGCGCTTCATGATTATAAATTCTCTCGACACTCGCTTATCCTTCACGGCCGGGTTGTGTAAGACTCGTGCTTCAGCATAATGACTGCAAAGTGAGCACGTAGCACGTGTCTGAAACCAAGAGCATCGCCAAGGCGTCAGGCGCGCGTGGTCCTGAAACACAAGAGCATCGGCCAGGGTCAGTTGCGCTGTCTGAAACACAAGAGGCGTGTCTCGAAACAACGGAGCATCGCGCCAGGCGTCAGCGCGCGCGCGCGTGTATGTCTGTGTGGTGTGTGTGTGTGTGTGTGTGTGTGTGTGTGTGTGTGGTGTGTCGTGTGTGGTGTGTGTGTGTGTGTGATATGTACTGTGTGTGCCGCCCGAACGGCCGGCGGGCACTCCGCGACGGTGGGCGGTGCGCAATGTGCTGTGCGTGCGTACGTGAGTCGTTTGCGTACACGTGCGTGCGGCTGCGTGCTTGCGTGCGTGCGTGCGTGCCGTGCGGCGTGCTGCGTCGTGTGTGCGCTCCCGCTATAGCTTACGGCCGCCTGCTCTAGGACAGGCTTACGTGGAGAGTGTTAACACACCGATATAACAGTTTTACTTTGTCAGGTCAACACGCCTGTGTAAACAATTTACCTGTGGAGGTGAAACACGCCGGGATTGCCACTGGCAAGTAGCGCCTGAGCGAACGCCTCTCATGCGATCTATCTCTGCGGCCTCCTCGCGAACGCCGAAAACGCTCCAGAGAACTGGTCGCAGCCCGGCCTGCACGAGGATTCATGTCTCGCGCAACTCATGCAGTGCGACAAATCTACTACAGCACCTGCCAGGTTGAAAGTGTCCGTGCCTGGGAAGAGAGATGACGCAGCGGTGACGGCACGGACGACGCCAGCGGTGACGCGCGGACGACCCAGCGCGTGACGCTGCGGGACGACGCAGCGGGTGGGACGTGCGGACGACGCAGCGGTGACGCGCGGGACGACGCAGCGGTGTACGCGTGCGACGACCCAGCGCCGTGACGCGCGACGAGCAGCGGTGACGCGGTGGGAGGTCGCGCTGGATGCGGCCGCCAGTGTGAAGTGGTCGGGAATTGTATGACCGCTTATGTGGCAGCTCTGCGATTCAGTGGGACGTCAGCGTAAACTATAAAGCAGAACCGCAATGTGCGTCAGCTTGCGTTCAGTGCGCACGTCAGCGTAACTAGAGACCGCCTATGTGGTCAGCTTGGATCAGTGGACCGTCAGCGTAAACTAGCAGACCGTTATGTGGATCAGCTTGGTTAGAAGACCTGAGTCGGGACAGTAATAAGCCTCATGCGTGCGTCAGTATAACTTTTACTGGACTTTGTCCGTTTAGGGTGAAAGGACGTTGATGGTCCATGCAAAAAAGAAACCTAGTCGTGGTTAGTTAGACCAGCAGACAGAGTGTAATAAGTAAAGGCCCCCTAATGTGACTTGGTCAGTGGTCCGAATAACCTAGAAGAGTTGTTAAACACAAAAAAGCGATAAATATTTTAAAAAAAAAATATAACTAAAAAAACCAACAACCTATTAAATCGCCAGTGAGTTTTGTCCGTCGTCAATAGTCAACAGTAAGAATTTCGAACGGGAACCTTGCCCACGCATGCCCGTATTATGTATAATTTTACTTGAACCAGCTATTTACGTTTAAACGAAGCAAACGCTATCGGGTGACATCCGGTCTGCGAGGCAGCAGATATAGGAAGTCCGGAGCGAACAGCAGGATCTCTGTTGTTTACTCGATGAAAATTTATGCCCAGATCGCAACCGCTCTTTCTTTAAAAATCTCACAGAGGTAGTAGGGGTGGGGGAGAGGTGCGGATGTCCTTCGTTTTGCCTCGCCAGCGCGTAAATGTAAAGCGGTCATTGCGGTTGGGCAACAGCTATGAGATAACATACAGCGTCTTCCACACATACTGTTATGGTACGCTGGTGTCATGCTGTCGGTAGGCGTGTTCACTGTCGACGTGGCAGAAAATATACGCTATATAAAATTTATCGGTGATATAAATATATATCGGCTGTATATATATATGATATAGAATTAAGGTGTTAAAATTCTTACTCAGCAAGCCTTTCACAGTTTCTCTCTTCACTCAGGCTGATTAAAAAATATTTAAAAAAGTGTTTATGTCTGATGAAGAGGATACTTCTTGAAAGCCTTGCTGAGTAAGATTTAACACTTTATTGCTATTTTTTCTTATTATTTCTACGTTCATATCTACATGCTTGTTTCGTGTGTTTTTACCTGCTATACACACGCACGCACGCACGCCACGCACGCCACGCACGCCACGCACGCACGCACGCACGCACACGCACGCACACAAACGCACACACACACCACACACACACACATATATCCTATATATATATATATATAATATATTATTATATATATATATATATTATATTATATTAATAATATACCTCCATCAGGCAGTCACGCCCTGCCTCGAATAGGACACGCGTGGGTCCACTCCACCTCTGCTCCCAGGTATCGGCCGATGGCGGTCTTGTGAGTCCTTCCGCGGAACAGACGAACTGTGCAACGTCCCGTCCGAGGTCAGTCAGACGACAGCCAGCCCCCATGGTCGATGAGATTACTCGATCCCTGCCAGGTGACAGCAATCGCGTGGACAGTGACAGTGACACAGTGTCAGATGACAGGTGACACAGTGACAGACGCACTCCGACAGTAGGAATTTACGCGCCGAAATCACGAACCGCGAAAGGTTATTAAGTTGATAAAGATTGCCTCCATTATATATATATATATAATATATAAATATATATATATTATATAGATAGATAGATAGATAGATTAGATAGATAGCATAGATAGAAGTATAGATAGATAGATAGCATAGATAGATAGATAGATAGATAGATAGTTACAGAGTAAATAGTTTTTTTTTTTTCGATAAGATAGATAGATTGATATATTAGATAAGATAGATAGCACTGCATTGCATTCGATTAATTGATTGATGATAGCATAGATATCGTTAGACAGAGCCAGATTAGATAGATAGATAGTTAGTTAAGCACGGTAGATAAACTAGGATACGATACGATAGATAAGGCATTCGATATAATTGACAGGGCGCGATCCAGGATTTTTAGGAAGTGGGAGATAGTTCCAGGAAATGCAACAATAAAAGCGGCACTTTTCCTGCTTACTTTTTCTGGCGTTTAAAAAATGCTGCCGAAGGACACTTTGGAGGGGTTTGGGGGACCGCCCCCAATATTTGGTCTTTTTTTAAAATGGTGATATTCTGAGAGCATCTGCAGCAGTAATTTGATCTCTAGATGCAAAAATGTATCAGCATCCGCTGTTCCCGGACGTCTGCGGACCCCTCTCTTGCCATTTCTAGGTTGTTTATAACGAATTTACACATATATACAGTAAATCCTTTATCAGAAAAACTAGCCGCTAAACAAAGATTTTTTTTATCGGGAGACAAATATAAGAGAGCGTGTGTGTGTGTGGTGTGTGGGGTGTGTGTGTGTAGTAGCGCGCGCGTGCGGCGTGCGTGCGTGTGGTGTTATGCTCTCTTTCTATTTCTTCTGTGGTAAAAAGCGGGGGGGGCGGACCCCGGTCGACCCCCTCTGGATACTGCCCCCTAATTGATATGTGATACTGTATACATACATGGACCACGCTACACTATAACTTTGGTGCGCTTTAATTGCGGAGTCCCGTCTATAATCCAAACCTCGCCTTCCAGCATTACCACGCAACCCCCCCATCTCACTTTCTAATAATTACGATTGGTTCTAAATTGCAGGTATTAATGCTTGTGGGCCGAATCCAAATTCAAATTATTAAACTGTTCCGTGAGTGATCAAACCCTGAACAATCATGTGCAAGACTTCAACGGAGAAAGATAATTAATGCGATTACGTAAATTATCCGTGTATTGCTGTGTGCGTGTTGGCGGTGCTGTTCCGTGCGCCACGTGTGTGCGGTGCGTGTCTTGCGGCGCGCGGGGATGAGATGGTTCCATGAATTAAGCTACCTGCCCAAAATGTTATATTAACGTTTACTCAAATAGGTGTCATTGGCGGGTATTTCATCAAGCCTTCATTCAGTTCCTCTATTGACTACCTCGCCGCGCCCCTCACCTTCTTAGGGGTCCATGTTGAACTTCTTGCGACCGATGCTGCTGCTGCCTTAAGCTTAGGATTCTCCTTATCCGTGACGCGACGTGCCACCCTCCCCAGTTCTCCTCGGTGACCTCTGCAATCTCATCCTTCAATTGCTTGTGATAGAGCACGATCGAGAGCCAAGAATAAGGGATGCAGTCGTACGTCAAGACGCTAAATAAGCTGCATACAGCACAATTCAACGAGCGTATTAAGTATATACTAATACGCTCTTGGAGCAAAGTATGTTCAGTAGTATAGATGTACACGCAAACGCCGGCCTATAATTAGATATTACATATTAAAGTGATCAGGTCACCCGTACAATCAGTAAAACTAAAAAAAAAATATTTCCACTGTTTCTTTCACAAAATGTAAGCTAAGTCTGTTCAGCTTTTTTATGGTTAAATTGATGCATGTATACTTGCCTATTTTTACTATATTGTTCGATGCTCAACATTACACTCGTGACTCATACATAGCCCATAGTAAGCAATTAAAAAAAAAAAAATAAATTGTTCAAGATAATAATATCAAATCGTCCAGGGTTTTGATTTTAACTAGTTGGAAAAACATCTTAATCAGCGTTCTAAGAATTTGACGGATACATTTAGTCCGTTAGTACTTACTTCAAATGTAAAAAATGTCAACAAGAAATTTTCGTGACGTAGTAAATTTAATATTTATTTTTTATTTATTTTTTATTTTGTGTCTAGATCCGTACCTGTATTTCTATGACTAGTTCTGCTTTGCGTTTTCGAATGGTAGCCAACAGCTCCTGCTCCTCTAGCGTCAGATCTGCAATAAATCACAGACGGACATGAAACGTCTGCTGAAACATTCACAGATTGCTATAGCATTATAGACGAGTTAAAGTTCGTTATTCACACGTTTGAGAACGTGTTTTCTGCTCAAAATCGGCTGCAACTATCAGCCTATAATTAGCTGATGTACGTGTGTACTGTTGTACGTGTGTACATTGTAGTGTGGTACTGGTGTACGGTGTATACATTGTTACGTGATGTACTGTGGGGTCTATTGTACGTGTGTACTGTTGTTGACGTGTGCTACATTGTTGACGTGTGTACTGTCTGTACGTGTGCACGTTGTACGTGTGGGTCTGCCATTGAACGATGTGTACTGTTGTACGTGGTGTGGTGAGTTGTACCGTGTGCTACATTGTACGTGTGTACATTGACGTGTTGCCTACATTGTACGTGTGTACATTGTACGTGTGTACTGTTGTACGTGTGTACATTGTACGTGCTGTACATTGCTGCGTGTACTGTTTGTACGTGTGTGTACATTGAGTGGTGTAATGTAGTGTGTACAATTGTACGTGTGTGCTACCATTGTACGTGGTGTGTACATTTGCTACGGTGTGTGCTTACATTGCTACGTGTGTGTACATTGTACGTGTGTGCTACATTGTACGCGTGTACATTGCTACCGTTTTATCGTTGTACGTGCTGTACATTTTGTACGTGTGTGTACATTGTACGTGTGTGTACATTGTACGTGTGTGTGACATGTACGTGCTGTGGTGCATTGCTACTGTGTACATTGTACGTGTGTACTATTTGCTACGTGTGTATCATTGTACGTGTGTACGATTGTACGTGTGTATCATTGTACGTGTGTAAATTGTACCGCGCTTATCGTTGTAACCGTGTGTACATCTGTACGCCTGTATCGTTTGTACGTGGGTACATTTTGTACGGGTGTACATTGCTACCTGTGTATCCGTTGTTACGTGATGGACATTGTACGTGTGTCCCCACATTGTACGCGTGTATCGTTGCTACTGTGTGCTTACATTGTACGTGTGTACATTGCTACGTCGTGTATCCATTGTACGTGTGTACATTGTACGTGTGTACATTGTACGGCCTTGTATCCTTGTACGTGGTTACATGCTGTACGTGTGTTACATGTACGCGTGATATCGTTGTACGTGATGGCATTGCTAGCGTGGTACATTGTACGCTTGTATTCGATTGTACGTGTGTACATTGTAGCGTGTGCTACATTGTAACGCTTGCTATCGTGTACGTGTGCTGACATTGTCCGTGTGCTAATTTGTACGCTTGCTATCGCTGTACGTGTGTTACATTCTACTGTGCGCGCTGTGCGTTAGTGGTTAGTTGTACGGGAAAAGTACGCCGTGTAGCTGCCTGCCTTGGAGCCTCGAGATTGTATCCAGCATCTGCCTACGTCTTTTATCGGCCAATCACAAGCCTTGGCCTTCGTCAAAGGAGCTTATAATGATTAACGATGCTTCGCTGTTGAGACACTGCAGGTGCGAAATTTCGCCGACCTATTTTGGTGTACCGCATGTCAAACACGCGTCTGAAGAAAGCTGCTTGGAGCGTTCTAAACATCAATTGTTTGCCCGCATTCTCCCGGCAGCCGCCACATTCGCTAATGGCTTCTCTTAGTCGTCATCTACCACATAGCTCCTACAACAGTACACTTGCTGTAGTACACTTGCAGTATTGCAAAGTAGTGTAGCACTTAGCTCGTAGTGCGCGTAGGTAGTAGTAGTGCAGTTAGTGCAGCAGTAGTACACACTGCCTGCAGTACAGCAGTAGCTACACTTGCTGCTTAACCACAAGCCCGAGCGCTACCACTGCCATCGGAGCGGTTCTATGCTGCTACCAAGTACTAGCTAGGCCCGCTCAGAGCACTTATTAGTATGCCATAGTAATTTGTAAAAAAATAACATATCCACGAGGCGCCGACGTACGCTGACGATTACCGCCAGCGCAACCTGCGATTAAAACGTGTGTGGTAGTATTCAACAGCATCATAAATCACATTGTATGCCATTTTATAATGCTCTGCGTAGTATTGGAGATTGTCCAGCTCGTGCGGCGCGGCCGAATGGTAAACGCCCAACGAATAATCTCATTACGTGCGGTCCTGTAATTTATTCGCTCTGCATCCTGTGGGCTTGGGTAGATGCGTGTACATTGTGCGGAGCCGCGGAATGTTCGCAAACCGGTGGTTTTGCGGGGCGAAATGAGAGAGCAGAAGGAGTGTAGTGAGAGAGACGAGAGACGAGCAGAGAGAGCTGACCGAGCGAGAGAGAGAAGAGAACGGGAGGGAAGGAGGAGAGAGAGAGAGAGAGAGAGAGAGAGAGGAGAGAGGAGGAGAGAGGAGGGAGCAGAAGGAAAGAGAAGGAGGGAGCAGACGAGACAGAGAGAGAGACGCCAGAACGCTGCGCCAAATGCATATGACGGGCGGGAATTGAAAGGCACGCAGCGATTACATAGCCCACGAAGCATACACAACTCTCTCTCGCGACACACGCGCGCACACACACGCACGCGCGCACACACACACACACACACACACACACACACACACACACACACACACACACACAGCACAACACACTCACACACACACACACACACAAACGCCACGCAGCACGCACGCACTCCACACCACACACGCACGCACGCACGCACGCACACACACAGATATATATATATATAATTATATATATTATATTATACTATATATATATATATATATATTAATATATAATATATATAATATATATATTGAGAAAGGCTGCGAGGAGACAGGCCAGAGAGAGCCCCCAACACTATTATTATTTTATTTATTATTATTATTATTATTACCACCATGACCATATAGGAGAAGGACAAACAGAATGCCAACAAAGCTGCTTAACGCTAAAAGACATCGGTGCAAAAAACTCAGCACAGTGTGACACCAGTGAGTGACTTTTACCGCACCAGCGGGCGCCACGAATGGCAGTCATCATCATCATCATATATAATATGACACTAATACAGTTATATATATATATATATATATATATATATATATATATATATATATCATGTACTGATATATATATCTATTACAAAGATCTATAAACTTGTTATAGTTGCGATCACGCAGGTACTACCTATACATTCGGCCTCTGTTAAACCAACAGGCAGCTATACGTAATCATGATACTGCGGTCACACGTCTAATGCAAGTAGGACGACACGCTGCTGCCTGCCAGTACCACTATGTATGGTCAAGCATCGCGGGCGCGTTGACTAGCATGGATATACCGTACACCAGGTTGTTGGACATTCCCTCCGGCGCTGAACTCCCCGTGTGACGACACGAAGCGCAGTCTATTGCTACCGCCCGACGTAAAATATATTAATGTTCACGCGCGTCCGTGTGTTTGCCTGACAATTGTTGCTCGCAGCGCCGCGCCAGTGGTCACGTCGGCGTACTAATGGCCACGCAGTCGAGACTATTAGTCGCGTCGTTGCGCGAACGTCGGTGGGATCACGTGACGTGCATCTCGGAACGCTCTCGAAGGTTTCGTCGTTCGATTTCAGCGCTCGTTAATTGCGTTGCTATTTCTGCGCTGCACAACGACATGTGGAACATACTTCTTATTGTACGTGTGTACATTGTACGTGTGTACATTGTACGTGTGTACATTGTACGTGTGTACATTGTACGTGTGTACATTGTACGCGTGTATCGTTGTACGTGTGTACATTGTACGCTTGTATCGTTGTACGTGTGCACATTGTACGTGTGCGCGCTGTGCGTTAGTGTTAGTTAGTACGAAAAAGTACGCGTGCAGCTGCTGCTTGGAGCTCGAGTTTATCCAGCATCTGCCATGTCTTTTATCGGCCAATCACAGCCTGGCCTTCGTCAAAGAGCTTATAATGATAACGATGGCTTCGTGTTAGACACTGCAGGAGAAATTTCGCCGACCTATTTTGTGTACGCATGTAAACACGCGCCTGAAGAAATGCCCTTGGAGCGTTCTAAAACATCATTGTTTGCCGCATCTCCCCGGCAGCCGCACATCGCTAATGGCCTCTGTCGTCATCTACCACATAGCTGCACAGCAGTACACTTGCTGTTACGTAGTACACTTGCAGTATTGCACAGTAGTGTAGTAGGCGTAGTGTAGTAGTAGTGCAGTAGTGCAGCAGTAGTACACACTGCTGTAGTACAGAGTAGTACACTTGCTGCTAACACAGCCGAGCACTACCACTACCATCGGAGCGGTTCTATTCTGCTACCAAGATACTAGCTAGGCCCGCTTCAGAGCACTTATTAGTTGCCATAGTAATGTAAAAAAAAACATATCAACGAGGCGCCGACGACGCTGACGATACCGCAGCGAACCGCGAGTGGTGGGTAGTATCAGAGCATATAAATCACATTGTATGCATTTATATGCTCTGGTAGTATTGAGATTGTCAGCCTCGCGCGGCGGCGAATGTCCGCAAACGAATATCTCATTAGTGGTCTGTAATTTATTTTCGCTCTGTATCCGGTGGGTAAGATGCGTGTACATGAGCGGAGCGGGAATGTTCGCAAACCGGTGGTTTTGCGGGCGAAATGAGAAAGAGAGTGAGTGAGTGAGAGAGAGAAAGGGGAGGGAGAGAGACAGAGAGAGAGAGAGAGAGAGGGAGGGAGAGAGGGAAAGAGAGGGAAAGAGAGGAAGGGAGGCAAAGAGACAGAGAGAGACGCAGAACGCTGGCCAAATGATATGACGGGCGGTGAATTGAAAAGGACGCAGCGATGTGAACATAGCACGAAGCATACACACTCTCTCTCGCACACACGCGCGCACACACACGCACGCGCGCACACACACACACACACACACACCACACTACGGGCGCGTGGCACGACAACACTCACACCACCACACAACATACAAAGCGCCACCGCGGCACTGCACGCATCCAAGCACACACACGCACGCACGCACGCCACGTCACGCACGTACACACCGATATAATAATATATAGGTGAATTATAAATTATTATATATTATCATATATTATATATATATATATATATTGAGAGAAGGCGAGAGACAGGCAGAGAGAGGGCACCCTATTATTGATTATTCTATTATTTTATTCATTTTGACCAGGCATGACCATATAGGATCGAATGGACACAAACAATGAATGCCAAAAAGGTGCTTTAGGCTAAAGGAGATGTGAAAAAAAACGGCACACCAGGTTTGTGATCACGAGTGGATGACGTTTACCGCACCAGGGGCACGAATGGCAGTCTCTCATATCATATACTTACATAGAAATACATTATATATAATTATATAATATATATATATATATAGTATAGTGTACTATATTATTTCTTACAAAGAGTATAACTGGTATAGTTGCCAGATCACGCAGGTCATATATACATTCGGTCCTTGTCAACCAACCGGGCAGCTATACTCGATCTGATACTTGGTCACGACGACTTGCAGTTAGGACGACACGGATGTGCCTGCCGAATACCTTATGTATGGTAGACAGGCGGGCGGTGACGTAGAGGGCAGATGGATAATACTACACGAGGTTAGTGGACCGTTGCCCTCCCGGCTCGCTGACGTCCGTTGTGACCAACGCAGTCAGGGTAGGCCGCCCGACACAGTGCAAATTTAATAAGGTTCCAACGGCGGCGTGATGGTTTTCGGGTAATTATGCTAGATGGCCTCGGATCTAATGTTGCTAGCCTGTGAGCGTCGCGGCCGAGTAGACGGACCCCCTCATTCCCATGGGTGATGATGGACTGGACAGCATTAGCTGCTGCATGGTAGGTGGTACAAAGTCTCTAGATTTGAAACCACGGCACCTCATATACGGATAAGGTTTCATCTCTTATATTCCAGTATTCCCTTATGGAATGGGCACCTCCATTTTGGGTATGGCCATCCTTGCAGGTGATCATTCGTGTGTTACTGCGTTCGAGTTAAGTCCGCTGTGCGTTCCTGAAACTGGTGTGTATCTCGTTGTGCGTGACTGGCGCAATGTAATTCGCAACATGTGCACTGGTCACTTGTTCCATATCCAGCATCTCGTGCTCAGGGAGGGCGCGATGGCTTGTGACTCCGAGTGAATCTCTCTATTGTTATTTTCTTTTCTTGCTTGTATCTAGGCTTTGAGTATCATAATGTATGCAGTGTAGAGGCTGCTCTGCACGTCTCATGGTTTGAGTGATTGGAGATAAGTGCGCTTCGGTATATTAGTCGTAGACGGGCCTTATGACTCATTCTCTACGTGGAGCTCCTCTGCGCTAACGATAATGGATGAACTTACTTGCAGGAGTCACTACTTGTCTTACACTTTCCTATCTTCTTCTGTGCGTACCTTTTTCCGGTCTCCGTTAGAGCTTGATGGACGTACAGGCTGTCCCTTCCCTCGTGTAGTACCTCCAAGCGGCAAGCTGCTGGAATCACACTGGATTCTTATCCTCCTATCAGCGGTCGTAAAATATGCTAGTACAGTGTGGGTGCCGCACTAGATCTCTGACGTCTGTGTCGTAGCGTTCTTGTAGCTTGAGGTCTTGTCAGTCGAAACTTATAGTTGTCGTTGTGCGCTCCCTCCAACGGCTCGTCAATGGCTACTACGTTCTGGCGTATGCTAACTTTGAAAGATATGGAATGAATCCTAGCAATGCGACGCAGGCGTCTTCCTTGCTTGTTGTGGCTCGTTGGCATGTGTAGCGACTGCTTGACTTATCAGGCGGTCTACCTCAGCCTGCTGCTCAGTGACGATGTGCCCACATACGTTCACACTGCTCTTCTTTATTTGAACACTTCTTCAAGTTTAGGTTTCAAAGATCTTATGCAGCGTGCTACGACTTCTATGAGTTCGGTGTCGTGTTTCAGTGAAGTCCTGTTGCTGCTATGAGGATGTCATTCCATTATTGCTCGCGCTCTTTCGATTGATCTTGCAGCATCTATTGTATAGCCATAATTTCCTGCGATATTTCTGGTGGCGCGATTGATACGATCAGGTAATAACGTAGCCAACCTGTTAATCCTTCCTGTGCGATGGTAGGATTGAATGTTTACTGTTAGACAAACGGACTTGATTGAGTCTAGGCTCTGATCTGCAAGAAACCTG